ACAGAGGGAAGAAGGGAATGAAAAAAGAATTAAAATGTTATATACCTATACTAACTCCTCATGAAGAATGTAACCGTTCTATACTGTAAACATGTGCTAATAAAGATTGAAAAAAATAAACAAATTTTGTGCACATAGGGCTAGAAGTGGTAGAGATCAGAGAACAGTAGCTTTTTACGTATGGAAGTGACTTAATTTCAGTGGATCTGATAGCAAATAATCTTTTCAATAATGACTACTTTTGGATGATTTATTACCTGGTTATTGGGGACACAGAGAATTCACCAAATTATCTGTACAACACAAATTGTGCTACTTTCTCCAATACCAAAACACTATCCTGTTTTTATTATAAGAACAGATAACATAAAAATCTTCAAGCAAATTCTAAAGTCTTTTACTTGACCTCATAAACTCTGCATTATAACAATTTGATTATTCAATTCTAAATTGTCTGTCTTTTAAGTATGCTTTGTAACTCAAGCCTTGTCAAATGTAGTATTACTTAAAGGACCCCCCATGGAAGAAGGGGGATGAAGAAGGCAAATGTCACTGAAAATCCATGTTGAAAATATGTCCATCCCTTTTCCAGAGAAGTAAAAGAAGTTATAACACTCTTTTTTGTTATAGGGCCAATGTTATGTTATATCCCAAATTCAAGATACTCATAGGCTGATCTGGAGTTAACCTTTTCTCCCACATATGTACTGTTTTCTTTTTCTTCTCTTTTTGAAGTGCCTATTTTACAGCTAACAAAAATACATTACAATATTTTAAAATCCAAGTTATATATTATAAATAATTCTAACAATATGAATTTTCCTTGGAATAATTTCTAATATTTACTTTTTTATCTATAAACATTCCTGAATTAACAAAATGTGCAAATAGGGTTCCATAGAAAAGAATCTGCTATAGCACAAGGGTTCAATCCTCCGCCTCCAGGGTGCACTGAGAGTGTGATTGAGACTGGGCATGGTGGCACAAACCTGCAATCCTAGCACCTGGAAGGCTGAAAACAGGAGGATCACTATGAGTCTCATCTATGTAGTGAGACCCTGTAGACCTCCCCCTGTACTAAATACAAAAAATAAAAATAAATTAAAAAGTAATTAAGTGTGAAGGGGGTGAGATTTTAACAGAGACCAGAGGATGACATTCAAAGCAAAAAAACTACACTGGCTAAACAAAGCACAGCCCTGATATAATAAAGGTACTTTCAGGAGGCAGTGGCTAATCAAGTAGGGTTATACCAAAAGATATATAGAAACTGAGTTTTAAAAACCTGAAATCTAAATATGAAAAGTTTTGAGAGCCACACTGAAGAGTCTGAAGTTTTTATAAGCAACCTTGATTATAAAAAATAATCAAGGTTTTTCAGCAAAATAATCTGATGGACACAAAATTTTAGATATATTAAGATGGCTTTTGATATCTCTAATAAGTAATACAAATCTTTATTAAAGGTATGATTACTGTCACAGAGACATGCAAATAAGACACACTGAATATATAACAAAGAGAGGCAGACTGGAGCAAAAACAATTACAAACAAGATTAGCCCAAGACTTAATTGTTGGAAACAAGTAAAGCATTACATCATATAGAATAGAAAGTTAGCAAGTTAAGATTCATAGGATATGAAAACTATCCTATTTCTTACCACTGTTTGCATGGAATTCAAATTGCCTAAGCATAGAATAAAATAAGTAATTTATGAAAGGAGTAACCAGAGAAGTTATCAAAGTGATATATTAACAATGACTTTACCAAGTTAGAGAAAATATAATTAGTTTAAAGTGCTTTAAAAAGTATCTGCAAAATAGAAGGCATATAACTTATTAATTGTCTTATTATTGTTTTTCTTTTTTTTTTTTTTTTT